GGAAAAAAAGGTATTGGTGAGGATATGGAGAAGCCGGAACCCTTGTGCACTGCTGGTGGGAATGTAAAATGGTGCAGCTGCTGTAGGAAACAGGATGACTCCAAAAGCTAGACACGATCTAGCAATTCCACCCCTAGGTATTTGCCCAGAGGTAGCAGGGACTCCAACAGATATTTACACCCATGTTTACAGCAGCATTATTCACAGTAGGTAAAAGGTTAAAATAAATGTCCACCAACAGGTGAATGGATAAACACTATGTGGTTCATCCATACAATGAGTTATTTATTCAGTCTTAAAAAGAATGGAAATTCTGACATGTACATTCAAAACACAGATGAATCCTGGACACATTATGCACAGAGAAATATGCCAGACACACAAAGACGAACACTGTGTGATCCCACTCATAGGAGGTCCCTAGAGTCAGCAGATTCTCAGAGACAGAATGGTGGGTGCCAGGGTCTAGGGGAGGGGGATGGGGAGTGAGTGTTTCATGGAGACAGTGTCAGTGTGGGAAGATGGGAAAGTTCTGGAGAGGGATAGTGGTGATGGTTGCACAACAATTCTCAGTGTACTTAATGCCACTGAGCTGTGCACTGAAAAATTCTAAAAATGATACAACTGTTATGTTTTACCATGTCAAAAAAAAAAGGCAACATTTTCCTCTAAAGTCGCTAGAAGTAATACAGTCCTATGGACACCTTGACTTTAACCCAGTGGAAATTATTGAAACATTCTGGGCTTCTGGCCTCCAGAACTATAATTTGTTTTAAGCCACTAAATTTGAGGTAATTTGCTACAGCAGCCCTAGGAACCTCCTACAACCCCCATAGATTCTGATTTTATAGGTCATGGTGATTTTTAAAGAATCCTGTAGGTAACACAGCTGGGGAGTACCACTTCCTTCCTCAGTAGCTACACCCCTCTTCCAACCCAGAACATTCCATGTTTGCCAGCGATTGGACTCAGGGTGAGAGAGCGCAGGACCGAGCTCTGGCCAATGAGGCTTAAGGGGAAGTTTGCTGGGAGGCCTGTGAGTTAAGTCCCTGTTTCTGCCCTTCGCTTTCCCCCCAGTGGGCAGGCCCTGACAGTGCCCATTGTGGATGGATAGGATTTGTGGAGGCTTTTCAGCCAACCGGCATCCATGAAAGCCAAAAAAACAGAGAAATGGGCCCAGAAACAGACTTCACAGAGCCCCTGGAACCATATACTTACGGACTTCCAGTTAAGGTAGCCACTGCCAGCGGTGGCCAGCCTGCCTGTCCTCAGCAACTAAAAGGGCCCCAGAGCGAGGCCAGGGCTGCACCGTCTTCCTCTTTGCTGGGTGCTTCTGTGCTGTCTCCAGTGCAGAATCAGGATTAGAAAGGTTGAAAGAGAGTAAGCTGGGATGTCAGGTACCATTCAAGCTTTATTAAAGAAAGAAATCTGCTGGGCTGTGCTCAAAGTAGCAGGCAGCCCAGGCCTTTCCTGGAAAGGGGACAGCACCAGGTGTAGGGCCGGTAGAACTTATATTGGTATGTTGGCGCCAAGAGCTGGGTGATACCATCAAGGAGGGTCATTATGCTAATGTGGATCGGGGTGGAGAACTGCGTCATTGTGGAAGCAAAAGGGGTTTCTGTTTAAGTCGGGAGGCTTCTGTAAAGGGAAGTGGGGGAGGGGAACAGCGCCATTTTGTACTTGGGCTTGTCTAAAGTGGTGCTGGTTATGTTGCAGATCTATTTTTTTTTTTTTTTCTTTTTTACTGACCGGTAACGGGATTGCAACCCTCGGTGTTGCGCCCGCACTGCGCTCAGCCAGTGAGCGGGAACCGGTCTCCACATGGGATCCGAACCCTTGGCGGGGGCACTGCCATGCTCCCAAGCGGCGCACT